GTTCCACAAGTAAACAGCCTACAGTATAGGAAAGTACAGAAGGAAAAAGAGGCAGGGGAGTAGACAAAAGGAAGAATATGAAAAAGGAACTATAACAGAAGGAAATGATGAGTTTTATAACAAAAATAGTGAAGGTATACCAGTAACCCCAGTGTTAAAGGTTGCCAACTTCCTCTATGATCTGAGGAACACTGTGACAAGTGGCAACATAAGAAAGCATGAAAAGACAAATCTGATATCAAAGATGAGAAGTAATAGTACTTATAAAAGAAAAATGCAAAAAAAAAATAAGTCTTAAACTCTAAAAGAACAAATTAGTGAGTATTAAAATCTCATTTGGTTTAATTAGTCTTCATTTCTTTGGAACAGACTCTGGTGGATCCAAAGGTGAAAATATCAGTAGTACTATACCAGAGGGCCATGAAGAGTTGTTAAAGAGACAATATGAGGCTGATCTGCATACTTTTTGTGGAAGTGACTTCAGACTTCCTCTGAATGGTATAGCACTACTTAAAGAGTTTCACTATAAATTCAGGCATGGTGGCACATGCCTATAATTCCAAACACTTGAGAGGCTAAGGCAGAAGGATGGTTAAGTTCAAGGACAACCTGTGTAACATAGGCAGACACTGTCACTAAAATAAACAAACATATAATCAAATCTATACAATCAATCTATCTCAAATTTCACTATAATTCTCATCCTGGCTGGCTGAGTTAACTATCCAGGGTTCAAAATAAGGTATGCATTTATTAATTATGATCAACATTTAATCTTAAAAAGGGCAAGGGTTGGCAAGAAATCATAGAAGAGCATTTAGTGTATCCTAAATAAGTCTAATGGTAACCAAAATCCAACTAATGATTCTCAAGAAAATTATATAATTAAGAATTCACTTGAAAGTTTCTTGAAATTATAGTTGGACAAAAGAAATCCTTTTTAAAGGGTGAATTTATACCTTGAAACTATTCAAGGCACATGTGATGGTGAACATATTTCTTCCATTCATACAAAACTTTTAGGCACCATGTTAAATACATACAGACACATGTACACACATACCCCCATAGCCATGCAGCCCAGTGATCTCAAAAAGATAAAAGGCAATATCCTTAAAGATGATTAGTATAGCAGAGAGAATCCCAGATCCAAAGCAATATAATTAGTCTTGATACCTTGACTAATTTTTCATCATATCCATGAATATGCAGTTTTCATGAACACTATCAAAATAGACCATTGTAAGTTTACTGATAAAAGTCAGCAAAATATTTTTATTAAAATTTAATGGGACACAATAATATATATAACCTATACATATAGCCTATTTCATAATTTAATCATATTTTAATTTTAAAAGATAATGAAAAGATAAAAACTTTAAATACAAGGTCAACTGGAGATCACCAATTCCAAATACTGATAAAATTTAGACAACCGACTTTGTGGGGAGTAAGAAGCACAGCACTTTTACTTCTATACTAAGCTTTTAAAAATTAAGTGTTTAAACTGAGCACAGTGCACACCTGTAATTCCAGAATGATGAGACCAGCCTGAGCAACTTAGCAAGATCCTGTCTCAAAATAAAAAAGACTGGGGATGTAACTCAGTAGTAAAACGCCCCTGTGTTCAATCCCCAGTACTGCAAAGAGAAAAAAAAAATTAATAAGAGTTTAGAACAAGTCTTCAATCTCAACACTAAGTCAGATAATTCTTTGTTATGGAAGACAGTCCTATGCATTATAGGATGGTTAGCAGCATCACTGCCCTCCACCCACTAGATGCCAGTAGCACATACACTCCAAGCTGTGACAATCAAAAATATCTCCAAATGTACCCTGGAGTAGAGGGGAGAAAAAAAATCACCCCAACTTGAAAACTACTGATGTACCTCATAAATAGAAAAAAAATCTAAATAAAATGGGGGGTGTGTCAGGGTTTTTTCCTACTCTGTTTCAACAGGTTATATTTGATCACAGACAATGTTTAAGAGATCCTCCCTCTTAGAAAACAAGGTATTTAATATCTACACTTGTTAGCCAAAGTTAACAAGAATCTCAGAAGATTCTCTGCAGTGCCAACTCTCCCTCCAATCACACACACACTAGCGAGGGCGCTCAAGCAAATACGCATGCATACATACATACATACACACACACACACACACACACACACACACACACACAGATAGCCTAGCTGAACTGAAGAAAATGTAACATAATTACCATACTTTCATTTATTCATCAAATATATTGACCACACTTTCCAGCTTCCACAGAATCCAAAGGAATTCTTACAAAATGTAATGTAGCTCTAATACCACAATAGCTTCATTATTCTAGGTGGAATAAACTAAGTTCTAGGACAAGTATTAAATTTATCCTTATATTTTAACAAATTATAAGAAAAGATACAAACTAACCATGAAGCTTTAAAAAGGAAAAAAATTGAGAAGCAGATTTGTATTTTGAAACCAAGAGATAAGAGGAATGAAAAAATTCAAAATCAAAGGGAATCTGAAAGCATTCCGGGATGAGGGTAAAACTCAAAATGTTTCCCCTGGAATGAGAGATAGGAGGAAATTATACACTTGGCTATATCTTGCATAATCAGTCTCCAGAATACAAATCATTGAATGAGAAACTGAAAAATCAAAGTCCACAAAATACTAAAGAAAACATTTCCATCCTGAACACTTAGAAGGACTGTTCTTTACTATTGTTTCCCACTTAAAAATTTTTAAATGAGATATCAAAGGAAAAAAAAAGAATCTGACAACTTGATAAATTTCTTAATTCTCATAAAAAACAACCACTCTGATACTTCCAGCATTCCAGATTACACATTACACAGAAAAATCAATTAGCAGGAGAAACACAATAATCCTTTTTTAAAGTATATTTGATTCATAACAAAGCCCTTTTTAAAAATCAGACATTTTAAGTACTAAAAACCTTCATGTAAATATGGATTAAGGCTTTTAAGATTACTTCAATTATATTCAATAGGACCACATATTTTAATTCAAATAGGAATGTTCATTTAAAAAAAGCAATCTATGCAACAATACTTAATATTAATTTAATGGAAATGAACTATCTCTATGCTCCATAGCAAGAAAATATTTTATATCAAAATTTTGAATATTAACCTCTGGCCCAGTGAAAAATCATCCTCCAAGAAACTAATGCTCAATTCTTTTTACTCCCAAACCAGAGGAAGCTGTAAGATCTATAGCGACAGCCTGCTTTTCTAGAAGTAATACCTTAAGACCACTCAAGAATAACATCCTTCACCAATTAATGTGACTCAGGAGGGTTTGGGAGGGAATAATGTCCAGGATCCTTTGGTCAGTGGCCATGATGCCCCTCCTTCTCAAGGGCAGGAGATCAGAAAAAGGGATTTGAATACGAGGAGTTCACCATTCAAAACATAATAAGGGACAGAGGAAAAAGAGTACTACAGGAAAGATAAAAACTACATGGTTAAGTCATTTCACAAAAGCAAGATGTTTAATGTTATCAAGGCCTTCATTCATTTCAGACACACCATTGTTTAGCTTCCTCCCTAAACCGTGCACAAAAAGAACTGTCAGCTTGCCTTAAGCATGTTTCTTCTTCCATTTAAACAGACATGATTCTTTTGGTTAATCTCTGGCAATGATCGCCATTTCACAACACATTCAGCCCACCCGGAACTGATCAATACCACTACAGACATAAGACTAGACTTTATCCATTTATTAACCACAAGGAAATGTACCATTCAGCAAAATTCTATACATTACAAAAGATTCTATTAAAAGGGGGGTGGGGAAGAGGGGGACACACACACACACACACACACCCCACAGAGGTACACAAAGAAAAGACTACCACCCTCTAATTTCCCTGTGGCAAACGAGATAAAGACATGACCATGAAACCTGTCAATTGGTTCTTCCCCCTGTAATTCTATCTCACAACCTAGTAACTGGATAGTGAATACTTAGGATAAGTATATCCATTATGATTTTTAAACTGTTTCATCTATGCAACTAATTCTCCTGTTATGTACATTTGCACACCTTGCTGCTAAATATTGTATTCATTTACAGAATTTCAAATACAAAAGACTAGTTTTCCAACCACTGGTTGCAACACAGAACGTCCTCACAAAATCAAAATTTCAAATATAAAATGGCCAGATCACTCTTACCAACCTTAGGCTAAAATATATCTCATGAGCATAGCATATTTAACAGTACGAACAATTTCACATGGGCTGTTCTTAACCGAAAACAATGCTTCCACACAAAGCGTTTAAAATAAGTATTCCGTAGGTAAGCAAAATCTATGCCTGAAAAGAGCACACAAATAAATGATGGTTGAAAGCCAGCACATTACCAACAGACAGCGGCATACCTCTCCTGCACTGAGTTATAGTTAATACTCCAACAACAACAACAACTATTTTTAACACTGCTGGACAATGAAGTTGAAGAAAACGTGAGAAGAGACAAATGAATTGCTGATAGGATTCATTGTTTCTCACGGTCAAAATTAAATATCAACTGACTTGATTTATGTCGTAATAGTCACCGGAGAAGCACTAATTAGAAGACTAGAAAATGACATTCATAAAAGAAAGAAAAAAAAAACACCTTGTTTTGGAGGAGCTTACACTAAATGACATTTCAGAATACCCCTTTTGGGTCTCAACCTTTGCATAAATTGTCACTTGTGGTATTTGTGGCTTAACAGCAACCCCACCAGCGCTGTCATCCAGTGTTATGGCCACAAACCATGACTTTCTCACTTCCACAACAACACAGCACTCACTCTTATCAGTTCGTCAACCTAACTCAAAACAAGAAAAATTCATGGAGATTTCCAGATCACAATCAGACCAGGGGGTGGTGGTAGCAGCAGACGGGCTCGGGGTGTGGGGAAACCTCCCCAGGCTCCACTGGAGCTCACCGACCCAACAACAACCGCGGCCACCAGCAGCCTGCACCTACCTGAAGAACAAGAGATAAGAAAGACGGCAAACGCCAACTTTGCAGCGGCTCCCATTTTCCCGAGGCGCCGGGGAATCCGAAGGAAGTTCTCGCTAGATATCCAGTTTCCTGCGTCTTCCTCGGAGACAAACCTCCTGGTGTAAAATCAACCGTCATAAAACATATTCGGAAGCCCCCGAGGATGGGGGTAAAAAAACGTTCACGGGGTTCTTAAAAAAAAAAAAGAAAAAAAAAGAGAGAGAGAGAGGGAAAAAAAAAGCACAACAATAAAAAAAAAATGCACCACGGGGAAAAACCGCCACACACACGCACAACACACAAAACCAAACAACGAAAAGCCAACAACAACAAAAGCGGGTTTAAATCACTGTCAAAATCACTGTCAGCTTCGCTCGCCTCTCGAGTCTCTCGGAACAAAACGCCAGGCTGAGGCGAAGAGGAGGCGGCGGCGGCGGCGGCGGCG